GATGGTGATTGGCTTGACCGCACATAGGTAGACACTGGCGTGGGTGGTGTGTGTCTCATGCGCCAGTTTGCGTCCGGTCGGAAGCAGGCCGGAAACCGCATTCGCGCAAGGGCCTACTCCGAGTGACCTTGTCTATGACGTCAAGAGTTAGGTGGGCGTCAGGCAGAAAGGACCACTACAGAACAACAACGATAATGCAACGCGAATAAAAGGTATAGTGTCGCGGACATGGCAGCCCCATCATTCAAAATCAAAATGAGCAGAGCGTTTATTCACGCTTGTGTCAATAACCACGTCCAGCCTACTGCCACGCGTATGTGTGAAACGGATATATGGTCAGTTTCCTGCAGCGTAATGCAAGCAAATGTGTGAACTGCTGGGTCAACTTCAGACGAGCACTCATTGCAGGATTGGATGAGGTGGGTGTTAGTTGGCATTTTCGCTCAGATGCCTACGCACTGCACTGCGATGTCGGTCAAGGAATTATCACGTATGTTCAGGAAACTGACCTTACCAGGTGATTATTGCAATCTTTCTCTTATACTGCTCACGGAAACGTTTCTCGAAGATTCAACGTTTTAATCGACCCGGTGAGTCTAAACGAGGTGATGTTTTCCCCGTATACGGTTAGAACCTCACGCTCTCATCAGTAGGCCATACAACTTCTGCCCACGAAACCTGTCTCCAGTGCACACTTCCTGTCTCCACCGGCAATCTCATCGCATGATCATGCTCATTAATTTTTATGAAATCTTTGACGGTTACATTCATCAATTAAAATCGCAAGGTTCATAATATCACGCAACTCTAGCGAACCCATATGGGACCTTCATTTTAATAAACACAGCGAAATCACACGACAAGTTATGAAAGCGGACATGTCTGTGTGTAAACAGGACGGGTAAACACAAAGCCGGACAATAGATTTGCGCGTGACGACTATACGGACCACAATTACAACGAAGCAGATTCGAAGGCACCTAAAAAAACATTCTGAGAGAGGAGGCTGGCGGAGCAGCAGCGAAACAGACGTAGCTAATCAAAGGCACTTTTTAATTACACTATACGTGTTACTATAATGCCTTACAGTAGGTAGTTTGGTTTCGAAAACAGAAGAGAGCTCAGTCAGCCCACAGTGAACCAGGACGCAAACGCAGGATCCAAGGAGGAAGGAAATGAAAAAAAACAAGCTTTATTAATCTTAGATCTTCTCTCGCGCATGTATACAAGTATAGTAAAGCTAACGTCGACGCAAAAACTCAATTTCCAAGCAGGCGAGCAGGCCTGGCGGCGCGAGGGAGCGCGGGGGGTCAGAGAGGATAATTAAAAAGGCCAACTAGGGCAAGTGTCGACAGACGCATCTCTGTACGCAAACGCGAGTGCTTGCGCAGATCACGAGAAAGGCACCGGGTAGAAAAGAATGGGATAAACAACAGTGCAAAGACGCAGGAGCTGCGGCAAAGATTAGACAAGAGCAAAGCCTTCCGTGTTCACAATGGCCTGCATAAATTTCGACTGCAAGATCTCCTTGCTGGAGTATTTCGGCAAGTCTAGGAGGTTGTAGCAGGTGTGTGCTACCGGCAGGTAGGTGTCACCACCACTGGTGGGTTGGATAATGATCTGTGTGAGAGAAAAAACAGAGACAGTTAGCAAATTAGGCATTCACCGACACCGCTGACAGTCATTTTTGCGAACTGAGACTGTCTGACAGTTAGAACTGAGCAAGCGACGGCAACCGCGTGCCTTAGGGAATAAGAGCAGCAGCAATGACCTGCGCGCAGCAACGGCGCAGGGCGTAACCAAACTCAGAAGAATACTTATAACTATCTACTTATTGTATTAAAGTAGTGGTGTTTTATTACCTCTTGCAACTGTCCAAAACCAACCTGAATTCCGCCAATTCCATGCACGGGAGCACGATCACAGCCGGTGAGGAAACGTAGGAAATTCTTTTTGTCCTCCAGAGTGCACTCCTCCAGTAGGACTTCCCAGAACCACTTGATGACCGGGTGCTGGTCCCAATACTCACCCTGGTAGCGCGCAGACCGTCGAAGTTCAAACCAGTTGATGTCCTCGGAGCCAACGACCAGCGTCTGAAATTAAAAGAGCCGCTTATCATAACGTCACGTTGTAACATTATAAAACAAAAGGCAGTTGACCGGTTGATGAATATTTACCTCGAAACTCCTAATTAATATTTTGTTAAAAGTTCATTCATTTGCCAGTTGTCATGTAGAGGACTCAGGTACTTGGACCACTCCTGAATAATCATTTAACAGGAAACAGTGAGTTGTTTTTAAACGTATTTTGAATCAACGCAACATAACTTTGAATACTTTTCTGTCAAACATTAAATATCGAAATTTTTTCGATGCAAGCCGGTGGGCTTCAGATTGATTATAAAAATTTCCATTTGCTGATTAAAGCTCAGCGATTACTAGCGGAACTCACTCGTCGCGATCTGCCTCGAGCTCATTCTCGAGCCCCGCCAGCAGCTAGTAGTCTAGGAAGATAATATTTGTTAGAGCGTTAGAAATCTGATTAAACGGTTGCGGGTTTGAGTCTCGAGTGGTGCACCACATGGAGTTGGGTATGACTGGTTGTTGACGACTAATGAGACAGCACTGGCCATTCCCGTCTTCCTTATCTTTGCCGGCAAACCTATCTACATAGACCCTCGTTGATTAATATTCACCGATCGCTAACGGGACTCACTCGCTAGAGCATTAGAAGCCTGATCAAATGGTCGCGAGTTCGAGCCTCGGGTGGGGCAATACTTCCAGTTGGGTATGGCTGGCTGATGATGGCATTCCAATCTCCCTTAAAGTTGCTGACAACGTTCATCTGTCTAGAATACTAGCCGCTCTGTGGCTGCTGGCGGGGCTCGAAAATGAGCCCAAGACAGAACGCGATGAGTGAGTTCCGTTAGCAATCGCTGAGCGTTCATCAATTGAGTACAAGGATTGCCAACCTGGCTGGGATCCCAGCTGAGTAGGGGTGCCATGGAGGCCCTTTCATTAAATATTGAAAGATTTTTTCGATGCAA